GCGACCACCTCGTCGACGAAGATGGCGGAAGCGGCGGCACCAGTCGAAGACATGACTGCACTGAGAGGCGAAAGGAGAGATGGGGAAGATCAAAACGGTCGAGCCGAAGATGCTTCGGGGCTCGACCGCTAGAGCTTGTACCTACACGCACAAGTGCGTTACACAACAACAAGAGGAATAACTATAACAAGGACAAGAAGAACTTAGGGGAAGTAGCACCGTGTACGAACTTCGACCCTTTCAGAAGCGCGACCATGAGCCGCTTTCTCATGCCGTCCCCGTCAAAGATCCTAAGGCTCCTAAGGGCAGGCCGCCGGCCACATGGGCCACAGCGTGGTGCAGGCATGAACGGCAAAAAGCAGGACTGTAGTTGGCAAATGAAGAGATGAGAGTAGAAAGCAGGATTGGTCATCGCAAGTAAAAAAGAGATCGAAAGCGAAAACATGCTCTGCAACATTTTGCAACCAAAGCTGAAGTCATTATTGCCCTGTCGGTGCCCACTGGGCGGCGACTGTGTGGACAACAGACAGAGGAAACGTTACAGGGGCTCGGCACTGTGACGAGCAAGGGGTGCTGTCCTTCAGAGAAAGTCGGAGCCGCCCGACTCTCCCAGGAATGTGATTACCACGAGTATTTCTCCGATGACGACTGCTCGTGCCGCATAGGGAGCAGTTGCAAGCATTGGTCTCTGTTTGATTCGACTCTGATGACCTTCGCAAGATTCTGCTACTGGGTGTCATGCTGCCCTCACAATGCCAGTAAGCCCTGAGCTTTGTTGGATGCGTCATGCTCGTCCACGTACACGGACACCATGACCTCACAGGTGACAGGCTTGCAAGATTAGTTGCGGAAACGACATACTCCGACTGTTCCAAGCTCGGCGCGAATCCAGCGCAAGCCACAAGGACAAGAGTCTGCGGCATAAGTTCCAATTCGCCGACACTTGCAAAAGAGCGCCGAAGCACTAACTGTCTCTATGACGTTGCGGAGCCGCCACGTCAAACATGCAAGTCCCACCGCCGAGACAACATTCGCTGTGGTCGTGAAATCATCTTCATATTGGCCTCAGGATGATCCGGCCCTGCCCCAAGTCTCAGGTGCGTTTTACGAATACTTTTCCCCAGCACCAGCATATCGACTCACGTCTGCTCGACATTGCTCGACTGGAAGTTGCTGCACAGGACGGCAAGCGTAGATAGACTTAGACGGCTTCACTACGGAAGTCCGCATCCTTGCTGCAGCTACAACGACAGCCACAGGTTGCATTCTGGTGGCACAGCGCCCAAGTCCACTGCTCAGCAACTCTCCCGGAGACTGCTGTTGGACAACATCGAGCCTCAAGAGTCAGGCTCTTGCGAAGAGAACATCCTCTGACCGTCACTTCCAGAGGGCCGGTCTGCGCGGCCAAGTCGTCTGCCAGAACGATGAAGTTTCCCGTATGCATGGTGATGCAGGAATCCTCTCGTAAGCTCCCGGTTGCATGTGAGAGCCACTGACCGTGACCGTGCACAGTGACATGACAACCTGCCTCGCTGAAGATGGAGCCCCGGGCATCAAACGCAGCTTCAGTGAAGTTGCCACTCCCCAGGTCGACCCAGTAGCACGTGGACGGATTCCTGCCAAGTTTACAACATTGACACAGAACCTACATCTTGAGGCATCCAGATGCACACTTGCTGAGTGTTGTGCTCCACATTCCCGAAACTGGAAGTATCGTACCTGTACAGCTTTGTAGCGAATCTGGGGACATCAGCCAACAAAAAGATGCAGGGGTCACGCGGCAATCTTTGGCAGCATAGAGTATGTTACATTCTCGATGGACCTGCATGGCAAATGCTCGTGGACGGATTAAGCACCAATCGAATGAGCCATCAATATGCAGCGCGCCTTTCGAGTAGGTTGCTTTCTCCAGCCTGCGAAGTGGACTTTCCTTCCCCTACGAACTCCTGATAGGAGCTTGAAGCTATGATCCGAGCCCCGTCTGTAATGATGAGAGATATGGCGTGCCAAAGCCTACCAGGCAAGCTTGTCTCATCTGCGGCATGGGCCTATGGTCAGGCGTTGGTGCGTGGCCTCTCACTTGGGCTGATATTCTGGGGCGGCCTTTCCAATCGCAGCTGAAAGCTCGTAGCTCAATCTTGTTGCTGCTTTTGCTGGGATGCTGGCACCAGAGATTGCACTTCGGGTCTGCTTTCGTTTGCCGGAACAGGAGCTTCCCTTGGGGAAAGCAGTGCGGAACGACAAAGTGTACCAGCAGAGCGAGGAGTGAAGAGGGGGGATAGTCATCTCGGCTGCTCACAAGCTGCGGTTGCCTGGCATGACCAGGAAGTCGTATGGAAACTTCCTCGGCACTGCCGGAAGTGAAACATCCTCCGTCCCCAAATTCAGAAATGAGGCCATGGAGACCATGAGGTCTTGGCTTGAACTGCACGTACCTGTAGTTGAAGTAGTTGTAAGGGTTGTCGAACGACCCGCGCTCGAGGCCTCGACATGCTCACAGCGCCGTGGCAGAAGCGTAAGAGACGCCATTAGTGCGGCTTGGAGACTTGGAAGGTCGAACCTCGGCTCATGGCGCACAAACTCAAACGCCGCCGCACTTGCGCCGCCATCAATGAATCAACATTTGCCGCCGAGCGGGCGATGCCTGACACGTCCACATTGCTATGCGGCTAGGTGGCAGATTGGCGACCCCTGCGTAGTTTTGCGTCTCTTCGTCCGCATCAATGAAGGCTTTACCTGAGCCGTTATGAGCGTTCTCGATCGATTACTCTGAGTGGAGCTCTTGAAAGCTCGGAGGCGGGCCCACGAAGATGTCTTGGCCAGGCAGTGCGAAGCTAATCGGAGCCTGGCACAAACGCTTCGGAATCCGGCCGGCTGAGCATTGGGACATCTGCAGGGCGTCTCCCGAACCCTGTCGCCTCACCAGGATATATCTGACTATGGATTTCCTGATGAAGGCAAACAGCACGTGATTCCAGAAACAGCTGAGTCCATGGGGCGTAAGGTGGTCTTTTCCGAAGGGCTGTCACTCCGTGCTAGTCTATCCGAGTGTATCCTGGGCTGCGCACATCCGTAAGCTGTTTGGTCATTGCTGTTGCTTGCAGAAACTGTCGATACCTGAAGCATGGGCGATGCGGGCGATTTGTTTGGCACGAGGCCCAAGGCCCGAGTCGGCCCGAGGCCCGTACATTGTCTCCGCGTCTCGCGTCTCTGAGGTCTGGAGACGTCGAGTCCATTGCCATGGAACCTCATGGGCTGGGCGGGTCTGCCCTTTGTCTTTCCTTCCCCGGAATGTCGAGCTAAGCACCACACCTTGCCGCCCATGCCACGGCCGCCTTTTAAGCGTCTCGCAGTTGCCTCTTCGTAAGATGGGACCTGAAATCGACATCCCGCCGGCTTCAGCGTTTTGGACAGTCTTGGCTATAGGGTTGCCGCGACGCCCGGGATAATGGCATCAAGAGCGTACAACCTCCAATCAGGGTCGGTGGAGGCTACAGTGCCCAATCAACGCTTCCACAAGTATCTTGGAAATGAGCAGGCCCAAGGTGACATCCACAAGCTCCTGTTTGAATTGCAGGTGTGCAGATGATTATGCCTGTCTCTGTACTTGCAGCTAGTATCCTAAGTACAACTTCTTGCGTCGCAAACTGTCTGGCTTAAGCTTTAAATTAAATGCACTCAGCACCTTGACAAAAGGCACCTGTGAATCTGGAACCTTGGTAGAACCCCGAAGCCCTCGCAGCTTGCCTCAACCCTGAACCCTAAACCCCAACCCCTCTTTCAAAGCTCCTCGGGCAACGGACAGTCTCGGTTTCCTCTGCATGCCTGGGTAATGGAGCGTGTTTTGGCAGTTGAACCAGCTGCAATCTTTCCCGCATCTCGGCATAACACCCTCGTGTCTTGAGTTGCATCTGATGCGATGTAGCTGAGATCGAGAGACCTTCAAGCAGGCAGTCTCCAGCTCGAGGGCTCAAGCTCGACTCATACACGATCTTGGCGTGAGGCAGATTTACCATGGTCCCCACGAAATCCACGACCTGCAGGAACCAAACAGACTGGCAAACTCTGTCCCGAAGTTTGCCGGCAACAGTAAACACACCTGAGGTCCTGTCTTCATCTGTGGTGATGCCCTTGTCGATGACGGATGTCAGCATGTCGGAAACTGTAGACACCATCTGCGGCCAGTGTGACTGCATTCGCTCGGAGCGGCGTCGTGTTTTCCAGAACCGGTCTCTTTTTCTTTCCACGCATGCTTGGGACAGTGGCAGCGGCGACATCTTGCAGCTGCCCCAAGGTGAAACTGATGATGACCTCAGCTGGGACAAGCCCAAATGCTCCCTCCGTGTCGACAAGAAGTGAGCCTCCAAGGCTTCCTCCGGCAGACTGGCTGACCTCGCTCGGCAAGCTCGCCTGACTGGAAGGGCAGGCGCGAAAGAAGTGCAGGACGAGATGTAAGCCGAGCCTCAGTGTCCGCAGCAGTATTTCGCTAGGCCGCGCTGTAAGATCAAGGCGCCACAGTCCTGATGTCTGCACTTTTTCTATTGCTTGAATCAGTCACATACTATTACCGATAATAGGTGATAGTCCGTGCTACGAGCATGTGGTAGGTGCTGCCCGGCTCCTCCTTGTGCAAGGGGTGGACCTATTCCTCGTGAGCCTGGTAGGACACGTCTCGAAAGAAGTCACTTGGTGGCACAACCAGCGCATACGAGCACCAAAAGGATCGAAAAGGAGTTCAAGCTGTCAGCTCCACTCAGGTGCCGACGACTTGCTTGACCGGACTCTCCTGCGTCTTCCCCGCCAAAGACCAGCAGCGCCTTGCCTGGCTCCATGAGTTTAAGCGCTTTCATCAGACTCCCATGACGCTGGCCCGTCCTCTGCCATGCAAGGAGCAGTTCTCAGCGTCCACGACCGTCGCAGCAAAGTTCCCAGCCCAAGCCGGAGAACCTGATCGAGGCCGGAAAAGGGAATGCTCCGTTGTTCTCAATGCGCAAAGGCACCGCAGAGGCACTGCACCTGTAGCCCTGACGGGACGCCAGTATGGCGTGTCCAAGTTCAATGTCCAAAGCCCCAGAGAACCTTCCGGAGCTTGCATGTGAGGGCAAAGCACAAGCTAGCGACTCGAGTTGTAGCACATGCCTGCGTCGCCGATTGCTCCCGCATGCTTGTGGCGACCCAGAACCATAATGCCATTGTTATGCGCCGCCATGAATGGCCGGCACGCGATGACCTGCCATGGAATGAGGCCTCTCCTTGTCCTGTTGTAACACTTCACTGCCATCTCAACAGCAACATCCTGTGGGTCAAAGTGGTTTGTCCACCGCTTCGTGGAATGCGAACACGTGTGCTACTCGAGCTGCCACTTTGGACCAGCTACCAAGGCTCGACTGCTGTCTCAGCCATTCTGGCCAGACTGCATTCCACGTGTGGAACGGTTTCTGAAACAATTTGCCGAACGGCAATGATTCGACGACCTGATGTGAGCGCGACTGCTACAAGTTTCACCAGCTGTGCCTCTGCATCTTATAGTCTTATAGCCAACTTATAGCAGTACAGCAGACTGACATGCTCTGGCAGGCTCTCCTCCGCTGCTCACGCACCACTGCCGAGGCTCTGTCCCAGCCTCACTTCCGCGTCAGACTTGGAAACGCCGCGTTGCGCACATTTGAAGACGGAACTCTGAGGAAATGAATGATAATCTGGAATCTGGAGTGAATGATCGCAATTCGAAACTGTTCGAAAGTTCGTCCAATCGAACCGAGAATGCGGCTGCAAGTTAAACTCATCTGCACAAAATCATGTCCAGTCTGCAACATCAGCAACGGGGCTGTAGAAACACAAATCAAAAAATCGCCTCACAACATCCGACCGGCTTAGGCCTTAGACAACCAGTGTCTTTTTAAAGCTGTGGGGCGCTTTCCTCATACGCCGACATTCCTTAGCCGAAAAGGTGTCGCATGAGCAGTGGGAGCAGTGGTGCGAAGAGGTTTCTCTTTCACTAGCAAGACACCGCCAAGATGGCGTGGACGTCCATGTTGCGAGCCGGGCCTTTGAGCCGGCCACAACCATCAAGGAACTCCTGTCAGCGCGAAAAACCGAAACCTCGTGAGATCGATTGCGCTATAGAAGCAGTCTCGCAGTCTCCTGCATACTGACGGTGTCCGAGTCGTCCACATCCAGCAATTTGAACAGCAAGTCCTTGGTTGCGCAGCATATTTGGGCAACGTCGGCAACCATGAAACTTCGGAGTCGCTGCTGATGAGTGCAACAGGGCGGCAGCATCTGTCGTTTCGAAACCAAGAACTCGGAAGTATGCCGAAAGGGTTGCATCTTCCAACATCTCCCTCCATCATTGCAGATTCGAAGTTGCACATGTATTTCGCGATTGCTCTGAAATCAAGGGCAGTTTCGCAGCCGCACCTAATTTCTTTGCGACTGACATCGCCGGAGCCATCATCATCTATCGTCCTTGGTTGTGTCTGCCTTTCTTTCGCCCTGTCTGTCTTTCTGTCACGATTTTCTTCTACTTCTTCTTCTTTTTTCCGGGCACCCCGCCTCCGCGCACGGCGGCATGACACGGACGGACACCAAATTGACCTCTCCTTGATGTCTCTCATGTTCTCAGCCCTGTACTCGCGCCCTCGTGGTGGGACTCTGGGATGCTAGACTGGTAGACTGCACGACCGTACCAACTCAGCTCAAGCTTTATGATTAATTACTGCCGTAAACTCGGGCTCCGATGCTGAAACAATCGACCTCCGGTGCCATGCATAGAGCTTCAAGCCCTAGCCTCATTTTAGGATTCACTCCCCTAGACGGTGGGCAACCGTTGCTGCACTGCCGTGCACTCGATTGAAGCAAACAGCAGATTGCTGACGAACTACCAGGACCTACTCTGGCATAGTAGCTTCACTCGTTGCCGGGGGTCCGTATGCTAAAAAGGCAAATCGCCCAGATCAGGGGGTGTGGCTAGATGAAACTGCTCCCGCTTTGTAGTTCGCTTGGTTTTCGGGCCGAATTGGGGCAGAACCAGCCATCGGCTCTAGAGAAACCTACTTGAAACCTATATTGTGCCAGATTCGATTCAGAATCCAGGCAATGTTGCCTTCAAACACAAAATGCCGACGTTCATGTTTAATGCGACAACTAAACTTCTAGCAAAACATGTGGAAAATAGACCGTCCCCACTCCGAAACAACAGTGTTCAAAACAAGTGCTCATGAAAGTAAAGGAGCGAAATCGAGTTTCGGGTTGGCGGAAAAGCGGAGCCTGTAAAGAATAACAAGCCAATGCAATCTTTCTTCCTTTGTCGCACAACAGGATCCAAGAGGGCCCCTGCGACGAGCAAACTTCATCTACCAGCCTACAGTGAACATAGCAGCGGAGAAATCGGCCCCAGAGGACGAAACAGGCGGAGAGGGATGGCCTGTGCAGCTCACCCATAATATAAAAGACAACCTGCAGCACATCCACCAAGATTTCACCTGGATAAAATGACAGTTAATGCCCTGGCTTCGGTAAGGGTTTGCTACTTGATTGGAAAAGCCAGAAATGCTAAGCGGTTTGGCAGCCAGCACGACAAACTACACATGGAACATCTGCTCCCACGTCTATTTGCCATGCACTGGCGGCCAGCGAGAACCTCCAGGGCCCCAGAACAGCGATGCAAGGACAGCATCCGCAAGCACAGCCAGAAGGAGTGGAAATAGGGGATTGCAGCATCGGTCTAAACCCAAAAACCCCAAGCCTACACTACACCGCAAACGAGAAGGTGGGCACAGGCCTTAACCCCAACAACCGAAAGCTGGGACAGAGTGGCACTAGACACTAACAACTATAACAACCCGAAAGGTGGGCACAGGCCTAAACCCCAAGACCTAAAACCGGGACAAAGTGGCACTACAGTCACTACACCCTACAACAAGGGGACACACGTTTAAAACCCAAGAACCCCAAGCCGACATGGAGCGCATGGAGACCAGGTGCATGCTGCAGGGCTTGCCAACATTCAGCGAGGTGCGATGCTGCCAATTTCGGATGCAGCATTCGGCGATCCACACCAGAACATGCAGCAAGAAAGCATTCATTTCGACCTGCACTGTCAGTCCAAACCGGTTCTATAATATCCAGCGAGCTGCGACACTAGTATATTCTGGAAGCGGCACCAAAAGAAGCTGCAGACCTTTTGGACGCAGCGGAGCGGGCTGCACTGTCAACTTGGATGCGGATTGGACACGGCACGACGGCATTCAGCGAGCTGCGACACACACCATGCGCAGAAGATGCACTGTCATCATGTTGGATGTCGCATTCAGCACTCAGCAAGACTTTGACCTGGCCTGGGTTACACAAGACTAAATCTACCACTACAGCCTTATCCCGAAAGGGTGCAGAGGCCTAAACCCCAAAAACACAAGAGCGGGATGGGATGGCAACAAGTCAAACATGTAATAAGTTTTTGGACTCCACCACCACTGCTGAGTGCGCGACACTTCCGCGACACTTGCGCGACACATCCGCGACACATCCAACTGTAAACCGCAAACCTGTGAGCATGCGACACTTCGACACCCGCTGCCCAAGAACTCCAGATCTCGACGACTCGACGACGGTCTCGATCACCTCAGTCTTTCACAATGTCACAATGGCACACCAACTTGCACGCTGGACTGCGAGACTCACAGATATATCGACACACACTTGCATGCCTCAGCACGTTTTGAATCGCAGCTGCTGAAGCGTTTCTGCACTCTGCACTGAACTAGCCGGGCAGCTGATGATTAGCCTGAGCTCAATCCGGATTCCGGCGGGCTCCCTCGAACCCTAGAATCTGGAGTCTGGAATCCAAACCACGAAAACTTGGCCACCGAACGCCACCAACGCTGGCATGTTCTCACTAAGCCGCACCGAGTACACACAGCCTCCGAGTGTGCATGTTGTGTTCAGCAGGTCGACGCAGTATGAACAGTATGAAAGTATGAAGCATAAAATTTCGTTAAGTTGGAGGGCTCCCCTGGTTTGTGCGACTCCACGACCGTTCACACCAGCGGTCACCAGCGGTGCTTCGGAGCGAACTTCACAATCCTACAACCTACAGCACATGGCCATAGGCAAGCAAAAAAAACCTGATCTCACATCTCGGTTAGATTCTCCTTCGCGGTCGCGACCTCGGGATTCATCTTCTCATCCGCGGGAACCTTGGCCGCTTCGGCAGCCTCCTTGGCCGCGGCCTCAGCTGCAGCCGCTGCTGCAGCAGCACGGTCATGCTCCCGCTGTTGCTTGATGGCGTTTTCAAGCACGGCCCGGATCTTCTTGATGATCTCGCAGTCCTTGTCGTTCTGGGCCCCCGCCAGCAGCATCTGCACCACCTCAAGCTCAGCGAGGGCAGACTCCGCGTTGCGGAGCACAACACCGCGGGACATCAGCGCATGGCAATCCATCTTCGTCACCCGTTCCGCAAACAACCAGCCTTGGGGCATGTAGAGCAGCTCGCCGACGCCATGCGTCACGATGTACAGCTTCTTCGCACCATTCCCGGTGGAAAGTGCTTTCAGCTGCTCCTCGGATGCGGCAACCAACTTCGACCAAAGGGTAGAGGGTGAGCTGGACCCAAACACGTCGACGGCCAAGCTGTACGGCATGGCAAGGATGGTCCTGCTGCCTTTTGTCACAGCACGCACACTCGCAAGGAAGTCTTGCTCGTTCGAAGCTGTCACAGATGAACCCTCCACACCCACATGATACGGCATGCAAGCAAACCCATCCAGCGGCATCACCAGGTTGCCGAGGGACTCCAGGAGTTGCGTCCACACCTCAGCCGCTGCAGGCTGCGCCTTGCAGGCTGCACGGGCTTTGGTCCGGTCATCCGGATGCTTTGTGATCTGACCTCGTGTGTGGTTCTTCACATGGGTCGCGAAGGCTGTGCAGAACTGCTCGCCACTGGCGTTCACGCAATCCTTGTTCAGGGAATACAAGACAACGAACCCTCAAGCTGTTGGCCGCTCAAATTTTATTTCTAGAAATTTCCAACCCTAAACCCGAAACCCCTAAACCCTAAACCCCTAACCCAGAACTGGTCAACTCCACTCCACAAACGAATAACCATAGCAGCACCAAAGGCTTGCCAAGTTTCAGTGCTCAGGAGAGCCACCTGCGCCTCGGTGAGCTTGATCAAGCAAGGGAGCGACACATCCATTGCCTTTATGTCCTGCACCTCAGGCACAGCTGTGC